TCTTACTTCAAAATCCTTTCTATGTGCCTGCTGTATGATACTTAAAGAAATTTCAGTAGGTACCTGGGTGCTATTATTGTAGGGTGATAAGCACGAAAGCGCCTCTCTCTTTTAAGAGGGGGGGGGCACCTAAATTCAAGGAGCACTAAATGAGGCGAGTCTCTGCACGTCTGGCGCCTGTTTTATCTTAAGTATGTAGCAAAAGCTACCTAAAATAAATTTAGCCTCGAAACAGTTATATTGAAAGGTGCTTTTGTTGGTAATTGGGAACTTGAAAATAAAGCCGAACTGTAACAAAAAGTAGACTAAGTACCCTTTACTATGATTAGAATTCAAGGGGAAATAGCCCGTGAGAACAGAGAACGTAAGTGAATGGCGTTTTGTGCCTCAGTGACACTCTGACAGTACATGTTTTACAAGTTTTTACACATAAAGTTTTTGTATGCTCACATCGATAAGGCTTGGCAGTTTATTTTCTCTTGCTTTATCTATATCACCGAAATATGTTTTTTTTTTATATAAATAAAGAAAGTCTAATGGTATTTTTTTTCTAGGAGATAACTCAGTCGCATCCTACGGTAAGTTTACCAGGTTTCCTATGTTTATAAAATCAAGCCAAATAGAGTAGAATACCGAAAATTAGAGGTTTAGTTTAAACGTGTAGTTTTAGATGGATTTAACCGTTTCGCATGACGTTACTGTTTCACAACAAATCGCCCTCTGAAACACCTTTTTTATCAAACGGGGCTATTAAGTTAACGGGTGGAAAACAGACCGTAAATGATTTATTGTTAGATGAGACTTCGTGATCATCTGCTGTTGGAGTTTACCACAGAGATTATGCGTGTAGGCGTTTTACAATGTTTGTTAATACCTGGGGATAAGTTGAAAGACCACCAAAGTCGCGTTAATTTCCCGTATTTAAAGTGGAGATTGAACAGTTTGCATAATTAAACATCACGGTTTCCGTGAAGCAAAACAAACCGACACGAAATTGGCACATAGCACATTCACCTGCGCAAATATTCTTGGGTCAATTTTTCCGAGTCAGAATATTTACCCACACTCAACTCAGTATAGTAAGTCGATGTAAATGTGTTTCGAGAAGAATTGTCTCTGAACAAATTTTAATCTCGAAACGTCTTTTAACATGGCTAAAACGGTAAGATACTTTTAACTCGGTGGTCTTTAACAACATCTTTCGGATAGAATCATAACTTGAATAATGATGCTGTCGACGTTGCTCGCCGGAGATAATTTCTTGTAAACGAAACAGGAAGTTTTTACTTTCGCCGGTAACGACCGTCCCAGAAAAAAAAACTTGTTTCAAATTGTACTACTGACAAGTCTCTTTCTTTCTTGTTTTGCAGCCCCTAGAGAAATTTGTCTGGGCAGCTCGGGTGGTTCATGTTTTAGTATCGTCTTGCATGAGATGGAGAAGGTAAAATAATTTCTGTAAGAGTCACACCAACTGACTAGAGAATCCTACCAAACGACATTGTTTTTTCATCTAGAATTTTTTTTGTAAAGTTGTTGTAACATCTAGTACTTAGTTCAGTAAATTTTGGATTCATTCGTCATGGAGTCAGACGCTTTATTTCACGTTATTGAGATGTTGATGAAAACTGATTGTTTTTAAAACCAGTATTTTTTGTTCCCTCCACAAATGCAACAAAAGTGACCTTTCAGATATGTGTAAATCAAATGTCGAGAGAGAACAAATACTGATTCGTTTTATGCCATTTTCACCCTGTCTACAACTTGCAAAAAGTAAACATTTTTATTTCGCTATAGCTCAATTGAAATTGATTTTCACTGTTGAAAAGATTTCGCACCAAAATTAGGTTTTATGAACGAGCTTGTGAATTACGTAAGTTAATTATACCGCATTTAGAATAATAAAAATGGACCAGAAGTTTATTGTTTTGTAAGATATGAAACTGTCGATGTTGATTCCCTTCAGACATAACTCTTATAAACCAGTGTGAGCGTTTATTGTTTTTTAAAAACTATTAAGCCGTACTCTTATCTTGTAAAAGTGAAACAATCGGTTTCATTTCAACCTCTGACTTTGATCTTGGAAGATAAGCATTCTCAGGAAGTGAAGCAGAATTCTTAAAAATCTCCCTAGTGAAATTAAGATTTTAAAGATCTGACATTTTTAAAACCGACATCTGTAATCTGATTTGCGTTTGAATCTGGTGCAGTGAAAGAGACCACTGTCTCCTCTGTTTTTGTGTGCAGATACAAGAAGCCAGACGAAAGTACCAAGAGCAAGCACGATTCAGCTGAATCTGGAACAAGGAAAGGAAGTCAGAAAAACTCTGGAATTGGTTTTGATACCAGAGTATTTAAAGGGAAAAGCAAGGTACGTAGTCAATGACGACACACGCTGTAAACTGAAACAAAAACAGAATCGCCGCAAAATGAGACATTTTTTAACGTTTGCGTATGTGCAGACGTTGTAATGGCACGCGAGGTTAGCGTGTTTTCAGGCCGTAAGAACCAAGTTGTCGCACTGGGGCTATAAACAACCGCACAAACCAATATGTCATGGTTTTTTGAAACTGTCAAGCATTTTTAATAAAACATAAAATAAAATGACAAATCAACAAGATAAGCTTTGTGCCTGATACGTCATGCGGAGTTTTTCCTTTCCCTACAAATTTTTCTCGCATATTTTTCCCGATAGCGTTGTGTTTTTTTTTCCTGTGAGATTTTGCGTAGAAAATTGGCACGCGATGTTTGACCGCTGTACTACCTTTTTGCGGGACAAAAGTAAGATTAAGATGACTAAACGATGTGCAATCGATTTTTGGCCAAATGTTCGTTGTCCCAAAGCCCTTTCCAAATTTTTCCTTAATTTCTCGCCTGCGCTTGTTGGTTTGTTACTTCGAAAACATTAAGATAAATGTTCATAAAATCAACTTCTAACTTGGTGAAAACCAAATGCCACCATTTTTCTTGAGGGGTAAATCCAATGAGTTGATATTTCTGGCTAGTAATTTTGAACTGCCATTTTCACATTTCTTAGATCTCCGATGAACTTCGTCATATTTTAACATCCATACCTCGAGTGCGAACAAATGAAGGACTTAAGAAGGTAACAATTGTGGCTTTGCTCTGTGACCTCAACTCAAATTCATTGATTATCTTCCGCTCAACTTGCTATACCTTCCTCGTCTTTTTAGATCCAGAGACTATGTCGCAGTACGCGTGCGGTCATGATATTTCCGCTGGAGAGGGAACACGATCTGTCCCGCCTCGTTGGTTATGAACGGTGAGCTTTCCTGGGAAGAAACCATTTTATTCGCTTAGCGTTCTCAGTTCTACTTTTGCAAGAACGTATCAGAAATGCTTTGATCGTGCGATAGGTGTTCAACTCGTAAAAGCAACCATACAAAAACACGAATGAATGAATGACACCTTTATTTAAAATAAATAGAAATCCCAACATCAGGGTAGTGCCATCAGAACGTAAAGCTCTGCTATCAATAGGAGCCCGGTGAATAGGATCCAAAAATTAATATAATACAATAAAAAATCTATACAATATAATATTACAGAAAATTCTAATTAACGTGACTATTATAAACAACACATCCATGATAAAAAAAGATTTCTTGGCTGTTTCAGTTCTAACGCGAGGCAAATGAAGCAAATTTCCCTATCTTGTTCTGGTATTATTAAAATTAAATGATTAACTGTTCAGGCAATATTTTCTTGAGACTCTCAAATCCTCCTTCACTAAGCTATCCTGGATTTCGTCCAATGTTTTGGAACCGGAAGTATCGCCTTTGCAATTCCAGTAGTTGTTCTGAACGCTACCATGCTTTTCCCATCTTTTTTTTTTCGATCGTCATTTCAGATACGACAATGGTCGAGTACTTGCCTGTCAGGGGAGGATACCGGAGAGATTTTATTACGTCCTCTCAGGGAGAGGTATGAGCTGTTTTTATATTGTAGACTTTTCGTAATGATTCTGTTCGATTTGAAATCTGCATTCAGCTCTAAATTACGTCATGCGCGGAGGGTAACGTGGATTAAAGTGATTTTCCTTTACCGTGGCCTGTTATTGGAGATCTTGTGTTATTAGTTTACCTCAAATAATCAGAAATATTCACATTAAATCGCGTTCCCGCGCTTTTGGAAACTTGCTTGTTTTTTCTTTAAGCCGCCGGTCTAATCGGCTCCATGCAATATTTTCTTCAGTAGTTCTGGTTGCTTATCTCATCTCATCTCAAAATCTAAAAATCAATGTGCTCAATCTATATTTTGGTAACTATAAAAAATAAATTTTTATTGTCTAGTTAGTAAAATTTGCGTCTATGATCTGGCTGCTGGCGTTACAAAGATGTCTTTCGGGGAGCTGATGCAAGGACATACAACCGATGTAAGTTTGCCAAATTCGCCTACTTGTTAGCAGGTATACGTACTGATAATTCCATTCTCAGCCTGGGCCAGCCTCGCGCTCAGTTGAGACAAGCAAAAATCAGCAGGGCTATCCATGTTTTCTTCATCGCCCGCCCTGCTTTTTCGCTCGCCCTTGCAAACTGAGGGTCTGAAACGAAGCATTCAGTTCTTGGAAGAAAAAAGCGGGAAACGCAGGTGTCCTGCTGATTCTATATCCTACACATTTTTAAAGCCTTTTTGTCTTTCTTTTTTTCGTTTGTTTTTGAGGGACCAAAAATTTTGAGGCAGCTTTAGAACAAGTTAGGATTCGGTCAAAAGATATTTAAAAAGCGCCAAAACTTTTTTAGGTTTAAATTTGTTAAGAACCACCGCAGTGGAAGTAAATCAAAATCTCTAAACTAATCTATTAATTTTTTGTCTTTCCCTAAGCCTGTGGAATTGATGAATGGTACAGAAAGAGAGCATTCACTGATATGCAAAGGACCTGTTGAAGTTCTTGTGTTAGACAAAGAGGTTAGACGTCAAGACCTGTGCTTTTAAAATTACTCTCAAGTCAGAGAGACGCCTTTAATTTCTGTTGAACTCGCGAAGAATTGCATACTGAGAAAAAAGACACGTTGTTTCGAAGAGCTTGAACTCTTTTCAACAAACAGCAAGCCATGTTCTAACGCATGTACACTTTACAGAGTAGTTTTACGGCCTAGAATTCCTTTGTCTGATTTTCTTTCGCAAATCAAAAAAATAACTTAGTTCCTTTGTGAAAGTTCTACCGACTGATAAATGAAATTGATAACAATGCTAGTTTTAAAAGGATGGGAAAATGATAGCTCTTTTCTGTGGAGAAAATTAATCTGTGATAACAAACAAGAGGATTATTCGGACTTTTGTTTAAGGAAAGGAAGAATGGTTGATATGTTTTTAATTACACACCTCCTCAGTTGCTTTTGGAGGAGGTCACGTTTCAAAATAAAAAACGTCATATGGGTATAGAAACGCAAAAGACAAGACTGTGAGTTTTTCGGCGTCCAATTCTAATTACAGCTATAATGTGCTTGTTTATTCAAGTGTAAAAGTTACGGCTAATTAGTCATCCGCACAACAAACACTTGATTATGCTTTGAGCGAATCATTTATCATAGTCATATTTGCGCGCTGGAGTTCATTACTGCGGTGACAACGAATTCAGTGACAACATCAACGGTACCCTCTGCTTGGTAAACAGAATGGTTCTCGGCGTGTTTAGCAGCGGGCTATTGATAAAAATGTGCTATTCGTGGTGCGAGTTATAACTGAAATACTATTGCAGGATTTTATGGAACTGATGAACACCAGCCCGTACAGTGGACTGCCGATTGAAACACTAAGGTAATGTTGACTTAAGAAGAACTTACAAAAAGACATTCATTTCGATAACGCATTTTGAAACATTAAGTGATCATGTACGCTCTAAAACAAATGTTAAGGTGAAAGGCAAACTTTAAATAGGACGAACTCAACATTTTGCATATAACTAGTAGTCTTAAAGTTGTTGGACATCGCGGAAGAATATTTAATTTCTCAAATCAAGGAAGTTACTCGTAGCTGAAGAAATGAAACAGCAGCAAAAACACCACCGAGCTCCTTGAATCGACTCGAACTATTAAGTTTCTAAATATCTCACTCACGGGTGGAACACTTTCAAAAGCACGTAGAAACTCTGCCTCTCATATCATGATCTGAGCGATCTAGGCGAAAACCGCAAACTGAAGGCTTTTAAATTTGCAAAGTACTTATGCTTGTATGTCAGCTACTAGTAAAAGCCGGAAATTTATTCCATATATAGTAAGGTTCCGAGACACTTCACTGCATTATTCAAAATTAGTTCCGTCACAAAAGAAGCAAATACATTTTAAAATAGTTTTTGTGTTCTCGCCTCTTTGAATTAGGGGTCTAATAAGTCTTGGGGTCAATTAATAACCCTGGAGAAAGTGCAATAAAACTACTTTATAGTTGGACGCGAATCACTGTAAACTCGATGACTTACCGATCTTTGTCAGATTCTCAAGAAAGCCAAGAAAATTTGCTTTTTTTTTACTCTTAGCAAATAGTTAGGGAAAAAGAATTTAGCTGTCTGTAGGCAATTTGTTTCACTTTGTCTTCCATTTTAGGTCAATCGAACTCTTTCGAAACTTTCCGCTTGAAAAGTTCCTAGACGACAAAGATGCCATTATGACCAGATACTATGCGTATGTATTAATTTTCTATGAAACCTTTTGATGATCAGGTCAAAAATTCCTAGTAGTAGTTGTAGTAGTAAAAAACCTTATTTATCATAAAGCAGGATAAATCCTTCAGTTATATGACATAACTGTTATCTCTGAGGGATGCCCTGCTTACATAAAATCCTACAATAACACAAACTTATCAATATTTTTATACTGTTCATCTTTCTTTCATACAAACAGCTGAGCTTATTGAATAAATAATTAAATCTTCGTGTATTACTGCATTTTTCTTGTTACTTATTCACTTGCTTGTGAATGATTCCCTCTAGCAAAGATGCTGTGATTGTTAAAGACAGCAGTGATACTCCTTTCTTCTACATCGTTAAATCGGTAAGACAATAAATAATAATAAATAAATAATAATAATTCATCAATGGACATTCCTCTGGGTGGCTGTTCCTGTCCACTGATTCCAGATCGAATTGGAATTTGGAATTTTGGTTTTTGCGGTGGGAGGAAAACCGGAGAACCTTGAGAAAAACCCTTGGAGCAAGGACGAGAACCAAAAACAAACTCAACCCATATATAACGCCAGGTCCGGGAATCGAACCCGGGCCACAGTGGTGGGAAGCGAGTGCTATCACCACTGCACCATCCCTGCTCCCCTACATCCCTGCTCCCCTACATCCCTGCTCCCTAAGAGCAGTTATCATTCTTATGGCTAAACCCGCACCGATGTTGTTACCTTACCTTGTTCCAAAGGAGTTTGCGCCAACCTCAAGATTTTTCATTTTTGCCTCTAGAATTTTCTTCCTCCCTTTTTTTTTACTTCCTTCTCCCAACCATTTCTCTCTACTTTGCCTTTTTCCATGACCCAATCTTTCCTGACCACTGACCCAGTTTTTCCCATTTCTTTCTTCCCAAAACCATCCTTCCATCGCCTCGTCCCGTTCAAAGAGTGTTCCGTGGTTCCTTTCTAAGTACTTGACATGTTGCGTATCTCTCCCAGGGGAGGTGTAAGGTTGTTAGAAAGCAGGAAGTGTTGGATATGAGCAGGACAACAAAGCTTCCCAGTATTGCCACAGTCACGAGGAAATCTCCACGTAAGTTAAATCCATTTTAATCTGTCTTTGTAACAAGGAAAAGAAAGTTTTGCTAATGACTTGATAACGATATCCTGCCTTTGAATTTCCTAATTTTAAAAACCAGAAGTGAGAAATTTAACTTCTGAAAGGGCATCAAATACCAAAGTATTTCAGAGAAAATTAAAGGACTATTTGAAATTCTTTGGTCTTAGGAGTGGTAAATAAACTCATCTTGCTTCACAATTTGTTTCTCAAACCATACAAGTATACTCTTTAGTTTTCCTTCGATTCTGTTTCCTTCAGAACAATTCCCCGTTAACTTTCCCTTTTAGGATCAACACCAGGCAAAAACCCCACAAGCCTGTTAGAGGTAAGACAAAGTGTGTCTTGATTCGATTCGTTAATTACACAAAAGATAGTCACTTAAACTTCATGACGTTTACACCGATTCTTTCTTCGACAGCTTACGGAAACATTTTCCAAGAAAAACACGGCACGATTGGATAAAATAACGCTGAGAACCTCAGGTGTGTTCGAGATACATTTTTAGCAGGGTAATAAGAACAATGAAAACGAAGATTATATCTATAAAAGACGCAAGAATCCTTCTATAGACAGAAAACTGCCACAAGTGACTCCATGAGGATTTGAGACTGACCCGTCATAAATATTGTTCTTGCAGTGTGTTCAATGAACCCGAACATAAAAATTACGGGCGACTCGGGAATTATGTTTGCTGAAAAGAACCATGATGAGCAGCCCACTTCAAGACAACTTGAAAAGGTAATTTTTTTGTTCGGAAACTGTACTCCTCCTTAACAAAAGTCAACCACACCTTTTCTTTCTCACAAAATTACTCATACTCGTTGCTTTTGATTTTCTTCTACCATTTGGAATTTTTTTTATGTTGCCAGAGCGATATTTTAAGATCTTTTTCCCGTTTAGTCTGTTTTTGTTTAATGCTTCTTGTTTAATGCATTTGTTTAATGGTTCTTGTTTAATGGTTCTTGTTTAATGGTTCTTGTTTAATGGTTCTTGTTTAATGCTTCTTGTTTAATGCACTTGTTTAAAGCATTTGTTTAATGCTTCTTGTTTAATGGCACTTCGTTACAGTTTTTTAATCAAAAACTGTAACGAAGCCATGTAATCGCCTCTAGCGAATCCGTGTTAACACGCATGCTCTTTTTGTTGCACCACAGGACCCGGTATTTGATTCAGGTGGAGTGACTTGTCCAAGGAAGCCAGACAAAGTAGCCAAAAAAGTATCTGACGTTTCAGTCACTCTTCCCACGAGAACAGCGCTCCTGCAAATCGCTGTTCTAAAACCAGGAAATATGTTTGTGAGTGAATTTCAACCCCGTTTAACACAAAATCTAACAATTTTCATTAATCAAGTTTCTCTCTATGAATTTAGTAATCGAGAGAGAGTGTATCAGTAGGACGTTGGAATTTTCTTCGGATCAGATAAACGGCAAGGGGTTTGAAATTTTGGTCAAGTGATTCGTGAGCTTGAACACTCGTAAAGTGAATGTCTGTGCTACTCACTCTCGAAAGCAAAGGCTGTACTAAGATTCATTGACTTAACAGCGAGGAATTGATTTGGCAGAACGTTATAGATCCGTTTTAGACACCGTAGAGTAATTAATAAATAAATACTAAAAAAAAAAGAGAGAGAGAAAAAGAAATACATGTTGAGTTACTTTGCTGCAAATATAATTGCTTGTCTTAATTACAAGGCGATGAAAAAAGGAGCATTTCAATTCTGCTTATCTAATTTCTTTTCTATAGTTTTTGTTTTCATTCTCTTACTTATTATCTCGTTATGTGTTCCAAACAGGGCCTGGAGTCCATGATGCCGAAAGTTGCCACCAAGATAAGTTCAGAGGTAGGAACAAGTTTTTCACAAGAAAAATATCTCGGAACAATCATGGTACAAGTACTTATTTCAGTTACACAAGAGGACTTATATCCTTTCCAGTCAAGACTTAACAGTGGATTTTCTGCTTTCTTCTCCCGTTTCATCGATAGGCTGATGCAGTTGAAGAAAATCAAGATCCCTCCACGAAAAGCCTCATCTTGGTGAGTGGTTTCAAACTCGCCTGACAAAAAAATCCTCAAATTAAAACCAGTTTCAAGCTTGAGTTATAGATATAAATTCTTTCCCTTATGCCCCCGTTATTGTTAACAACCAACAAAACATTAACAAATGGCTTGATAATCCTCTCCTTAGATCAGTGAAGGGGCTGAATGTATTATGATCAACAAGAGGTTTTTCTTAATGAACGCCAGCATCACCACTCTCGTTCAGCTAAAAGCTTTGGTAAGTGATTCTCTTTCATAAAGAAATTTACATTTATGATATGGCAACAGTAGGATGAGGACATTTCCTGTTGTCGGGAAGTAGTCAATGAAGTCAGTCATTTTCTGGCAATGAATGATTTAAACCATACAAAAATCATTTGGCGAAAGCTATACTGAATGATCTATTACACTTTCATCCTCAGCGAGAAGACTACATGACTGTACCTGATGCTCGACACCGGATCCAATGCTTAGAAAGTTGGGATTTATACAAAGGAGAACTTATAAGAACACTGACCACAAGAGCGGCAAAACAAGCGCGAAGATAGCTCAGAATCTTTGAAATGATCAATCTATTAACATGACGTTGCATACGTAACTGTGTACATTTGCTGGCTTGGAACAAGCGTTCGTGCTCACCAGCTGTCACTTACAGATGATTCCATCTCTTGCTTTCCCACAGCAGTGTTATGCTGGCGTGAATCTAACGCTTCCTCTTCAAAAATCAGTAAAGACAAGATCCCTTTGTGGAAAAATCTTCCGAGGCTGCTGGACGACAATGACCTTAATTGACTACTTCCGGTTTCTGACAACCCAGCTGTCAACTTTCCTTGCAGGGTCTGTCTTCGTTTAGATAAAGAGAGGCCCCGGTAAGGAGACTGTCCACCAGCGAAAAGACAATTGATATATTTATTTCTTCTGACAATGCAAAATAATTATCCCTAAAGTAGGGGAGTTATTTAAAGGATGTAAATGTAAATACAAAGTAAACAAGAGTGAATAATGAGTGAAATTTTTAAAAAGAAACAAAAATTATTTCAAGGAGAACACATTCAGTATCACCTGAAAACTATTCAGTATAACCCTCTCTACATTTACTGATTCACCCTTCCCCACCGCCCCGTCAACATCCACAAAAAGCATTACTACATTCCTCCTAAGTATTTACACATACCTTGTACTGTAACACATACCTTGTACTGACAAATCTTAGAGAACAAATGTTACAGAATTAAAGTCGTGTCAGAATTCTTGTCCTAACATAAAACTTAATCTGTTATTTGATTAACTTATTATTAGATAAATAACATTGTGTGGGGTACTACTCTCTCTCTCTCTCTCTCTCATGGTCTAGTTGTTAAATTATTAAGAGTGTTTGTGGACTTCTCCAGTAGCAGCAAACCGAAAAGGTTGAAAAATTACTATTTTTACAGTAAAAAAAGCCTGGCAAAATGAAAAAATAATTGTGAACATTTAACTTTCTGCTTCTTATTTTTTGTTCAGAGTGTTAATAAACTTCACAAGCACCAATAAATCAAAGGGGTGAAAGATGAGTATTTTGACAATAAATAAACAAAATAAATCAAAATTAAACATAATTCATTAAAAACTTGATCAGTCGTGGTTGCGTGATTAGTTATTGTTTTATCTTAATCCTTCCTCAGTTACTTTTGTTCAGCAATTCCTCAAAAATAACTTACCGTAGACTGCACAGCCGTGCTGTGCATAGTGCTGGGTTTTTAACACATGACCTGTGTGACCATTTTATTACATGTTTACCCATGCTATTGTACGTACGAAACTGAGTCCCTCGCCATTTACACATTATTTAGGCTATTTATTGATATCCTTAGTCTTTTAAAGTTAAGCTCAATCTAGATTTATAATGGTTCAAAACACATCAGACAGGCTGTAACTTTTCAATTGAATGCGCAAAACTTGGCGTTCATTATAGCTTCTTTGCCTTTATATTTGAACTTGTTTTGATGAGGCAGTTAAAACACAAAGACAGTGTGAAAGATTTGTTTATTTGTACAACTTGTAGCACCATCTGGAAACCATGGAAACCATCATAACTTGAACTCAACGAGTCAGGAACCAATATCGCTCCTGACCAGTCCAACACCTTATTTAAAATTACCACGTAGACCTGGGCGTGTACAACGAGGCCGCGGCCGAAGATATATTATAAGTGAGTGTGCCTCGTGATAAAAATCCTCTCTTCAAATCCAGCTATTAATTAAATAAAGCTCATAAAGAAATGGAAGTTAAGCCAGCTAATTATATCTATATAAATATTATACAAACACATTTAGTGGTCACCATACATTACCACCAAATTTTTTAACCTTTATATTATCATGTTCCACTTTTTTTTCCTTTTCATGGCTAATGAGAGCAAAACTTTATTGTTTTAGTTTTCCGTCTTTGCTAGCTCTAACTTGCAGTCTGCGATGACCAGGTTATGTGTGGGTCACAAATAATGTATTAATACCTCAATTGTTAATCTTATACGATGAATATATGAAGTTCATATATTTTGGACTGCGGTTATAGATACGTATGATGCACGATCCTCGCAGTAGGATCGTGCATCATGTGAATATATGAACTTCATATGAACTTCATATGAATATATGAACTTCCTATATTCATCGTATCTGATTTGTCATCACGGTTTTATTACGAATCAACTTAACGGCCTGTTCCCAGTTGGCTTGTTAGCTCAATTGGTAGAGCGCTGCCCTAGTATCGCAGAGGTCAGTGGTTCGAAATCCGTAAAGGCCTGACTTTTTTCAGGTCTGATTTTCGCTATTGCATAAATATCGCTTTGTACTGCGAGGATCGTAAATCATACGTATTGTTAATCTTTTATTTTACAATTTTTAATCAAACCGCTTCAGGCAAAGCTCGGGAATGGCATGACATTTTGTTTCTGTGCACTTCTACTTCTCCGACTCAACCTTTTACTATGATTCGGGATGGTGGTCGTATAAAAAAAAAATAAATAAAATATCTGGCAACTTTTACTCTAACGCCTAATACCTCTTTTTCAAATCGTTTACTGCCTTACTAGCGCTACAACTCTGAACTTTTTCTGATGAGCTGCTTTGGCGAGCAATTGTGACAACACTCGTTAACTTGGTTGGTTTACAAGTAATATTAGGCAGATGAACCACCACGGCAAATTTTGAACAGCTGTCATTTCAAGCACTAGCTCTAGGATGAAGCAACTGAGACAACACTCATCAACTTAGGAATAAATTTAAACTGAAATTCGCTACGGCGACCAAGCTATCATGAATAGTTACCTCTACTGGATAATGGCTAAACTATGATTTATAGTGCACTATGACGCTCTAATGAACTTAATTCTTAGTGTGTCCTTAATTTGAAATTTTATAAAGGTGACACGATATCTAACTTTGTTAGTCGGTTAATTTTTTTTTTCCAAATAGGTCTCGTCAACTGCTGCTAAGTCATTCTATCATCAGTAAGACACTAAATGGCCAAAACGACTTCATTACGTGATTAGTTGTTGATTCAAAGATATGAATATAATACAGTACGGCGATAAATTTAGGTGCCAAACATTTTACTGCATCAACATTAAAATTCGATTGCTTCAGAAGCGCGTTAACAGTTGTTTTAGATACATACAACGATGACTGAGTGAACTGCACTTGGTTTGCAAGATTTAGTTTGTCACACCGCCACACCCCTCGTCTGCGTGGCGGTAACTTCTTCCGATCTCGACTCAACTGCTGAAGAATTCTGGGTTTGCTGAGGCAGCAGTTTGCGTCTAAACAAGACGGCCACAACGACCAACGTGACCAAAAGCAAAAGGCAAACTCCCGCGATGCCAATAACCAGCGGGTTCACCAGGCTAGTATCATGAGCTCTGTTTAACTCTGCCTCCCTAACCTCTTTTGATGGTTCTGTAGATGATGTATTCCGCGCTCTTTCCGTTTCCGTTGGCTCAGAGATTAGCCGTATCATCTTGATATTTGCCCCTTGCCCGTGAACTCCTATTTGCTGATTAGCGGCGAGATCGCGGCGGTGTAAGCGATTGGACAGCTTGAATGAGCGGCTATCTATCTTGGATAAGATATGGGAAGTAACTTCGTTCCTGTCAGCGCTGGAACGACTAATCGATCGAGCAGGTCTGGAGTTACTTCCGGAAGTGACAGAATAAATAGCATGCATGAACCACTTCCGGCTCCTGGGAACCTGCCAAGGAGGAAAGAAGCGACGTTTTATCGATTATGCAAAATAAACTGGTGCAAACGCTGCTACACATGGGGACAGGCAAGGTAAGGTCTTGGCGTTGGTACGTCATACCGTGCACTAAAAACAACGAAAAAACACAAGTATGGGAAAACCGACATTTAAAACATGTACCTCGAACAAAGGAGCACTGTTCATTAAAAACCCGTCAGACCCGGGGTCTTCAGAGAAGTTGGCGGCTGGGACTTCTTGTTCTGCAAATTTTGCGTTAAATGGCACATTGGAGAGATGGGTATCTATCGTGTCTGGTTCTTCTCTGTCCTGTTGAATGAGAAAGAGAATTCATTTTGGACGCGTGGACAAACAGCCATTCAAGTATATTAGGTCTCTTGGTGTGGTAGTGATTCCTCTTCAAATTTGGAATGATGTTTACAAGAAAAAAAAAAAAGAATTTCTCTCCAGTCTCAACACCGTTTTTTAAGGAACTGTACACTAACATGCCATGAAATGATGAGTGATAAAAAGACACCTTAATACAGGAATATTGATCTATTTTGCAAAACTAGTGGCACAATTTTTTTCTTCTTTTCTTCCTATGTCCTTGCATACTTATTTGCCTCGTGCAAAAAGCATCACAAACTTACGAGAACTTTCAGCCGATGCCCCAGGTACAGTGACTGCGCCATGCATCCAAATTTGTTCTTCAATGGGTCGTAGGTAGGAACAAACTCTCCGACCCCTGTACACAGGTACACCTTTTCTGCCGCTAAAGCATATCCTTTTCTACCCCTGCCCAGTCCTCTGGCTTCGAGTAGCGAGATGCGACCATAGATTTTCGAGTCTATGCACAACAAACACGCAGATATTAAAATTTTGGGTTCCAATTTAGTTTCTTTTAGAAGATAGAGAAAAGGTAACTTGCCCCTATCACTTGGTTACAAATCTCAGTTAGCCCAATGGATAGTGTGCTGGACTGTTGTACGCGAGGTCGAGGGTTCGAGCCCCGGCCGGACCAACACTCAAGGTCTTAAAATAATTGAGAAGAATTTGCTACCTTTCTATAACATCAAGAACTGGTTAGATATTCCAGTCTTCTCGGATAGGGACGAATAAATGGGGGTCCCGTCTCCAGCAAGGTTAGGAGCTGGAGACGTTAATTTCCCACTCGCGAGATTACTGTGTGATGGATGTCCTCCCCTGGGGTGGGATGGTGGGTTTGTTGTAAAGGCCTTAAGTTAGATAACTCATTGGGTTAATTACGTCACCTTCGTTAAATAAAGAATATTGTACTGTATTGTATTTGTCAGTTATCGAGAAGGAACGATACTTAAAATAAAATAAAAAAGCTCAGAGGGCCAGGAGAACCAAAGAAAAAAGTCCCCCTCAGCAACTAGCCGCTCCTTGTGACATGTCGTAGGGACACACTTTTTAGTAGGTCAGCATAAAAGGAATGGAGTCTAAGAGAAACGTATGTGCGAAGGGATTTTGCGCCGGCTCACGTCCGCTGATCTGAGTCAACTTTTAGTTTTAAGTGTTGGTTCTTATAAACAAGAGAAACAGAGAAACAGAAAGGATGTATAGAATTTTCCTAACACAAATCTAAAGTGATATATACCTCTAGAGAAGGCTGCGTCCACGTTAAAATTCTTCATCCCATCAACGTCTCGATCCAACCACTGCTCCCGATCGGCCAGCAGCAGAAACTGAGCATTTAGAGTAAATTGCCCGGGGACTGGGTCGGGAACCTGCTGGAACCTGATTGGTAAAGTGAACGTCGCTGGATCACGTGGATGACAAGTCGGCGGTTCTGAATAAGTCACTCCCTTCATGGAAACAAAAATTGAATCCAGCCACTCATTTACATCGTTATTTTGTGTTTTTATTTACGGGGAAAAATGTGCCACATAATACTACTGACGTGAAGATTTCTAAAATGCCCACCTCATCAGCTGTACAAGGAATCAGTTTGATAAAATAAACACCAGTGTAATCCCGCAAGGCAAACTGGGACTGAAATTGCCAGGTCTGTTTGGGGTACTCGAACGTTTGCTCACTTGACACCAGGCTCAAACGGAAACTTTGGTGAGGGCGGTCACGTGACATAACAGCTGCCATGGTTTGGGTACCTTCATCATAAAAAATAACATTTTGAATAAGACTAGTTCTAGTTGAAGGTTCTTAATTAGAGGGTATGTGCACCGATGTGCATTGTTTGAGTAATTGCAGAAAGATAAAACTAAAACGTTCAAGCTCCATCGTACGAAGCCTATTTTCTTTAATGGTTAAGTACAAAAGTTGCAGGTCTGGGCCCAGTTGTATTACTTGTATAAAGGGATGATAACGCTATTAACAGATAAATCGCTATCCAGCAGATAAACTGATAGCAAAACCTACTG